TTTGATATGACCTCATTGTTTCTTGGCTCTGTTGTGAGTAGAAGCTTCTTGACACCTAGACCGAGGCTTCCTGAGTGTTTACACAGCCGCAATTAGGAGCTGAAACTTGACATTGCCCAGAGGCCCCACTTATGATGTGTGTAAACAATAATAAATCAAGTACTGGTTTTATCCTGAAATATTGTCTCAATTAGCCACATGTCCTGGGTCTCCATGGAGGAGTCGATAGCATTCCCTCGTTCCCATAACACCAGCTGTATGGCCTAGAGTTCATCAATTAAAACTATAAGTGGTTAACACTTCTGTGTGATACTTCTCTGCCAAAGTTTATCTGTGTCTTGTTTAATATTTCTTTTTTTTTTTGTCCTAAATGGGAACATGCCATGTCATTTTAGAGACAACAGTATTCTTAGCTGCAGTTGGTGACCCCTTTTTTGTCAGTTATATCTAAGTAAATGACTAATGTCATTTTGGGAAGGATAATGAATCTCTACATCTGGTTAGATACCCTTATAAATTATTTTTTGCTATGCTATGAATTACTTGTTTGGCATAAGTAGTTGAGTGCTGTCCAGGCAAGATTAATTTTTGTCCTTGTCCCTATATGAAATAACCGTGTGTGTGTTCCGTTAAATATGACACTGAAATAGAGAGCATAGACCATATGTTCCGGTTTGCAGACGTTTAAGATCACTTGAGCCAGCATTTTGTGGAGAATAGGGGGAGGGTTTAGGAAGTTTTCATTCGTGTATGCTAAACCTCTCATCTGCTTAAAGACTTCTTTCTTAATCTTTACAAAATCATACCACTTTACGATGTGCCAGTTCATAATGCTGTTTATAACATTCTTCTGGGGAAAGAAAATGCTCTGCACAAATTTTTACCAGTGTTGTTTTCTTGATTAGGGGAACTGTTATGACTCTAGCTCAATAAATACATGTATCTCACTGTTGTCCACACTATGAATAGGCTCATAGATCTTTCCCTTTCCTGCGTGGGATATAAACTGTCTACGATGTGCCTATACCATAGTATTGCATTACCATAATTATGCATGTGTAGTTAAAGTGATGGAGCTTCTGCCCATAGGCAAGCACTGAGATCCTGTTTCAGAATAGATCCTGGTTAGTCCATGTTAGCTACATGTACACATTTTATGGATTATACTGAAACAGGAAGCAAATTGTTGTGATCAGATCGGAAATCTTACTATGCGTTTGCAGAGTTTGTCATTACTGGAATATAAAGCAACAACAAATGTGTTTTGAGTGCATTTTCTAAATGGCTCCATAAAATAAATATAACGTTGCAGAATTATCCTTTCCTGAATCTATGCCTGGCCATGTAATTAAATTTAAATTTTCAAAAACTTTTGAGAAAAGAAACAAAAAATTCACATGTAGTCAGTCTGAAGGAGCAGTTGCACACTTTTAAGTCTCTTTTTTTAAATCTGTACAAATAAGTATATATTTTCATTGTAGACTGCTTTAGCTTTATGCATTTTCTTGTCATCTTACGATTAAAGTATCCACGTGAAAACTTCAGTGTAGATTTTGCGATGATTTCTTAACATAAGCTTCAATTGTGTGAATGGCTGGAGGCATAACTCCGTTTACTTCATTTGCAAGAGAAATGCAGTGTGGTTTAGAGAATATTACGCTGCACTGAGACTTGAAAGACTGATTTTATTCATTGTCATTGACCTGCTGAGTGATTTTTGGGAAGAGGAGGCATGCATTTTTTTTATCTGGGCTTGTGTGTTTTTGTCTCTACAAATTGAGTAGATATAGGTGAAGTGGGTCTTAACTGTGTAGTTAAAGTGCTTTACTGTACTGGAATTGATCTTGTTACCATTTGCTATGTACTAATAGAAAATTTAAGAACTCTTAAAAGTTCTGCATGTTATAATTGCAGTTTTTTTTTTTAATGTGGAAAGTTCACTTTGGCATGTAAAAAGTTAGTCTACTTGTGTTTAGTATTAAAGGTGTAACTTCTAGCCTTTTTTTGTATTCTATCTCATATAACTTTAAAGATTTGGGTTTATCTTTTGAAGTATTCATTTCTAAAAATACCATTTTAAAACTGAGTCCGTGCAGTCTTCCATCAGTGAGACAAAAAGGAGTTTGGCATGAACAGAATATAAATTTTAATTCTAAATATTTAAGTCTTATACAATGGATATGAATCTTTTAGATACTGTTTTTTTTAATTTTGCTTTCACACAGTATTTGTTTCCTACTTTCGTTTTTCTATACTGTAAATGCAGTGCTGTAATGTAATAATTCTCATTGCCACTACAGCAAAATTAGAAGTGTTTAAGAAGCATTTTAATTTCTTGGAAAAGAATAACTCTTTCACTGTTATTAAATCATGTACTAACAGCCAAGTGTGAATGATCCACTGAACCAGTATTGTGACAGTGGAACTGCTTGTTCTAATGGCTCTGTTAATGTTCTGAATGAAAGGAGATACAGTCCAGAATGTCTTTCAGAATATTATTTTGTTGATACGGGAGCCAAATAATAGTTCTCCTCCAGAAAGCACACATGTGAGAGTTTACAATAAAGTAGATTAATATTTTTCTTTTTGATATAAGTAAGACTCAGTTAGTTTTTGTGTAAGATTTAAAATTCCACAAATGTTTCTTTTCTCTTGCAACAGCTGGTTGCTTCAGTCTCAGTTGTTACAAGATTTTGTGGGTTTACAAATGCTCAGTCTCTCAGGGGCTTATTTTACCACAGCTTATACTGCACAAAATGCAAAATAACTCATCGCTCCTCTTAAGCAGAGGATTCCAAGAGCAAGCAAAAAGCTGCAGATAGAATTCTTTCCTTCACTTACTTGCTGCCAGGTGTTACTAAAACATTTTACTCGGCCTAGTATAGTTCTCCCGAAGATAATTGAATGCTGCTAAAGTAGTCCAGTTTTTTAGCACATTCTTCACTTCATTCAATAATATTGTTATCTGTGATTGCATAATGTGCTACTATAGAAGTGGTTTCATGTCATAACTGTAGCATGCTGGTGTCATCAAACCCAGCTAGAAGTGGGGGTAGAAGATAGAAGTAATGACACCAGGAATCTGGAAAGACCAATCTTCTCTTAATGGAGCATTGGCATGCTATTATAAAGTGGGTAAAGGGCAGTAACTTGCTTTCTCTGCCAGCAATTTGGGGATTACTAAGTCATGTGTCTTACTGAAGGATAAAAAGGAAGTCAGTGTTAGAAGTGGAAATAAAACTTAGGTCTGCTTGCCTTCACACACTTACTTATCATCCTTCATACAAGCACTTTTTTTTGTTTGTTTTTTTTTTTTTAATATGACAACGACTCCAGGCCGTGATGTTCTGATTTTATATACATATATGTGTAAAACAGCTATTTGCTTTAAAACAGGTAGGCCCTTTAAGTATATTAACTATCAAAAGGTGATTTTAGCAAATGGGAGAGAAATGACTGTGATATGACTGCCCTTAACCTCATATACTGATAGGGCTGTACCTGTCATCTGCGCTTGGCAGTAAATTCAGGCAAAAATAAATAGAATGTGGCAGCATACTATTGGTGTACTAACATAGGGATCAATTTTTATACCACTAAATTTTAGTTTGCTTTGTTTTGGAGTTTTTGGAATTGTCTCTGTTTATTTCTTGAGAACATAGGGAATTAAGAACAAAATCTGGCCACGCTTTACATCCTGCTTAACTTTTTTCAAGTTATATAGTAAATGAAACAAAGGGAAAAGGGTATCATAATACTTCCTATCGCAAAATAAAGTTCAAGTCTTTTATATTTATTTTCCAAAGAAACGAGGGATTTATAAGACAGACATTGGAGCTTTATACATGCATGACGTGCCTAGAGAACAGGGGAACGAAAACGTGCGCGCTGCTTTTTTTATTTATGTTCTATAACTAAATAAGTTGAACTCCCAGATCAGTCTGTGATCACTATATTCATACATATTCTAGGCCATGACAGTAGTAGTACCAGGAGTAAGGTTACTTGGTGGTTTTTTGTTTTAAGATGTTGTTTTCAGTTGCTTATATTTTAGTCATACTGAAATTTGCCATGATGCATATGTTTGAGGAGGGTTATTCCGGAAAGTTTAAGCTAAAATGATGCAGCACTTTGAAAACTGACATTAAGAGAAAGTAAATATGTTAATTTAAAAGGGAAAAAAGATGTTTGATTGGTTTATTTAAAAGAATATCCACACTTGATAGCTATAATTTAGAGCTGCAGAGGAGGGGAACAGAGTGTATGGCTGTTCCTAGAGAAACCTTAACAAATTAAAGCTCTTGGAAGAACTGGTTCATTCGTATTACTTGGCAAATATTTATTAACTAAATTATCTGAATATTCCGTGTAACGTGAGTATCTTCCTGTCTGTTGGTCCTTGCATGTCACCTGACTGTGCAGTCATCATCTGGACCAAGTAGTTAAGCATGATGCATCACACAGAAGTAGGTGATGGGTAAGTCTAATCCTAAATAGTATTTTCTTTAACTGTGCTTCTCCCCCAACTCCTGAGTGTTGGGATGAAGATGGGCATTGGGCATTGGGGGGAGAGGTGGGGAATGGTAATTGAAGCTGGGTGGAAATGCAATAGGCCCAGCAGCCTGGAAAAGATGGTACTAGCAAAATCAGAAGTGATCAGAAAAAAGAGGGCAAGAGCTGAGAAGGAGAACAAGCTGAACGTTCGTGTGGAAGGAACAACGGGAAAGGGTAGTACAAGACTGAAGAGCTCGATGAATATGGATAAGAAAATAAGGGAGCACAAAGAGCGATGGCAGCAGGACCAGAAGAGCGTGTAACACAAAACATTTTCCATGCAAAAACTAATTAAGTGATTGTTTCTGGTTCACCACTGCTTTACTGTTTACCAAATATCTGTGGACAACATAGAGGGGAAAGGAAGAATTTTTATTTAATTAGATAACTTTTTGAAAAGAAAGTTACGAGTTTGTGCTAAGGCCTAAACTTAATAGCAAAATCAAGTTAGTGCTTGACCAAATTGTAGAGTCAAAAATAAAAAAAGGATGCTGGAAAAGTCATTGACCAAATGGAAGCAGATCTCACAAGGAGAGGTGCAGGAGCAGAAAGACATTGTAATTTTAATTTATTCAATTAGTCCACGTTAATGACTGGATGATTCACAGGCTCAAAAGGCAATTCAAAAACTATTATTTCTGAAATCAAAAAGGGCATAAAAATGAAATCATTGGCAACAGAACATATTAATCTTGATGAAATATTTAAATGCCAGAAATGCGTGGAGATACTTCTGTATGTATTTGGCATCTTAAGCTTGTTTTAAATGCAGTTATTAGTTGACTAAAACTGTTCTTTCTTCCTTTAATTGTGCACTGGTGCCATTAGGAATTTGCCATAGAAAGAATCATTAGAAACTTTTGCAGTTTTGTAATAAATTTTTTTTTTTTAATGTGAATATATGCATATTAAGTGATATATGACACAGACTATTTACTAACACTTTTTCTGTGAATTATTTAATAGCAATAAAGCAGAGTGAGATTGGTGCTTATTTTGTATCTTCTTTATGACAATAACTGCAAGTTATTAACACAAAACCAGATTAATTTCAGCCACAATTTCATTGGGTATTGATACAAATCAGATTAAAATTGGATTTCTTGTTGCTTTAGTTAAAAGTCATTTGGAAGGATAAGATAAAATGAGTGTCTCTCCAGGAGTAAGAGATCCATGTAGATGTTTATGTGGATATTCCATAGGCTTGAATGGCAGGGGAACGCATGCACGCATGCAAAACTGTTGTTTATCCACATGGAGAGTCTTGGGGAAATGTGAAGGGTGGAGTTCAGGATTTTTTTTTATCCTGCACATTTTTTAATGAAATTTTGTTTGAAAAAGTAGTTAAATATTAATTAGGAAAGTCGTACCAGAATGAGTTCTAGCTGTGCAATTGTTAACATGTCCCCTCTGTTATGTGTAGGTTTTTTGATAGTCTTTCTAATACAGTCCTTTTATCGCTATAGCAGCAAGTTTGGTACTTCTTTTTCTTATTTTTGGGCCTAAGATGGTATGATAGGAGTATATTGGGTAGATCTTGAGGAAAAATTATTCTTCTCTGTTCTGCCATAAGCAGGTATGGGTGAGAAATCATGATGTATATTCTAGGGTTCACAAGCAAGAACTGTAAAACTCTTTCAGTTCAGTGTTAAGAATTCAGGGGAAGAAAATAGCTAAAGGAGTCTTCATTTACTGTATGGATATTGGGAATGAATGAGGGAGTGATGGGAAATATTTCTGCTCCCTAATACTCTAATCCCTCAGGAGTCTTAGAGGAATTAGAGAAGGCAGGTTTTGTTTTCCCTCATGTTTTGTTTTCCATTTTAACCAAAATTTGTTCCTAGTCCCCTTCATTCCCTACTACGACTTTATGGTACTAATGACACAGCATCAGATTACAGTGTGGAATGGGTAGGAGAAACTGAGGTGCTGCAGGAAGTTTCTTGATTTTGAGAATCTTTTGATAGTTTCAAGAATGAGGTTTTCATTCTCCGGACAGTAGGAGAACAACCTCAAGATTTCCTTCTGCAGTGCTATGAGTTACCTGGAGCCTGGATGCTTAGCATACTGAGGTGGCATTGTTTTGTGGCTAGATGGGATAGGATTTCTCAACTTGGTGGGATTTTTATTTTTTATTTTTTATTTTTAGGCCTTTGATTTGTAGGACAGAGTCTCTCTGTAGCAGATGTCATCCATAAACTCTTTTTACTTATTAAGAAGCACTGTGGTAAATTGGAGATTAAAAAAACATGATTATGCGTGCTCCCCAAGAAATCTGCTGATGTAAACAGAAAGATCGTGTGCCAGGTTAAGGAGTTAGAATTGCTAAAAACACCCCAATGCCCTTAATTCTGCTTTCATTGTTATGCCTTGAGGAGTTTATATCATCTTCTGCATCTTTAATATTCATTTTATCAGTTACTACATGCACAAATTCAGATTGCAAAGTGGCACATTTTATAATAGTTATTCATATACAATACTTATAAATGGAAGAATTTCCAGAATTCCTTTAAAATACAGAAAACAAAGTTTCCTCATTGAGTGTTGATTGGTAGAAGGGATCAAATCTTCACGTGAGATGGCTTGTTGTTTGTCGAGCTGTGTAACATGATGTACTGACGCTTGGAAAATAAAGTCTATGGTATGCACACTTTATATGCCTTGTTATCAAATGAGTAGTTTGTAAAAAGGATGATGAAAAAGATTAGCATAATAGCAAAGCATTGTATATAGCATTGGAGAGGTCTTGCTGAATAAAGTCGGTGTTGCATAGTGTGTATGTCCAAAATTCCACTGGCAAAAAAAGGTTAATGACAGGTATTAATGAAGCCTGTATATTCGAAGAAAGTCAACTTTGGCAGTGAATTTTAATTTATGTTTATTTGCATATGCATTTTTTTAAATTTAACCTCATATTTGTCTTGACTAATATATAAATTAGTTGATTGCATCGCCAAGCAATAAAGGGAAAAAAAGTGACACAAAGTAAATTTTATTGCACTAGAATATCAGGTTTGTGGCTTTCTTAGGGCTTGTCTTCTAGGAAAGTTGACAGCATAACTGTTGTATAATAACTATTTTGCTCTCTCTGTGCAGTTGCAGCCTTGAGGGTGGTTTAATATTCCTGACCAAGAGCATCATTGTTCCAAAAGTATATTTCTAAATAGTGACGGTACTTCATAAGTACATGAGATAGAGGAAATGAAAGCCACTTTGTTGCTGAATAAGAAGGGTTACATTCCTATTCAGCATAATTTTAATACACTGCACTATATGTGCATCAACTTCACATTAACTTATATATCTTAATTTTACTGAATGTCCCTTTGTAGGCAGGTTGATGGAGATAGGCATCCATTGCAGCAAAGGTAGAATGAATCTCTGATGATGTACCATCTTTTCATACTCTACCTATTGCTTCATTATTACTCTTTGAATTCATGAAAAATATCAATTTATCTTGATTTTTAATGTATGCTAATATTTGTATATGTGAGCATATGCTGAAGTCTTTTTCTCTTACTAGCTGACGTGAAATGAGAGAATGACTGAACAGAGGGTTTCTTCTTGTTTGACTGAACAAGGTCATCTTTTACTTTATAGTGAAAACTTCAGTCACGATATGTCTTTCAAGTGATGAAGAAAGCTGTCATTGGTTATGGTTTGATAGTTAAGTATCTTCTTCATGATGGTAACGTGGCTTTAAAGCTTGTCTACAAGAGGAATACAAGAAAAAAAAACATATTGGCAATATTAATTTCAAGTCTAAGCTCCACAGTGCCTTGGTAAAGACATTATCTCTGTCCTTTCATAGGTGTACCTGCTCCTCTTGTCCCCACTAAGATACATGGGAGGGCATGACATTCAAACTCAGATCTTTATTATTTTCTTGTCTGATACGTCGAGTAGACTTTGTAGTGTTAATTGTATCAGATGTCTTTTGGAAGAAGGCATTGCGCTTACTGCAGTGTGCTCTGGTTTCTTCTCAGCCAAAGCCTTTCCTCTGTATCATCTTTCACATGGACCTGCATTTCCTTAGTACCTCTCACTTTCTGCCCGTGGTGTCTCATAGAATAAGATCTAGAAATTAGCCTATACCCGGAGCTTCAGTTGAGGGTTTTGCAGGCAAGAACTGTTTTCTTCCTTAGACCTGAAATATTTTGAGCAGTCAAATCTGGCAGCAGAGGCACTATCAGATCTTCCCTGCAGCTGTTTCTGAAGGAAGGAAATAGGTTTTTCAGATTTGCAAAGATGAAGTAGTCCTCCTTTGTATCAGTGGTCTGGACACAGACGTGGAACGGGCAGTTCCTATTTATCTGGCAATGATCTATGTTCAGAAGATTCTATGAAATGAGAATTCCTTTATTTGGAAATAGCCCAATAAATTGAGGTAGGTGAAAATAGGTATCAAGATCAGAGAAGATAAATAGTCTGGGAAGAAGGAAATAAGAGGTACAGTCACCGCTCAGAACAGAATTAAGAAGTTTCAAAAATCAGAGAGCCCATTCTTTGAGGACACAGATCTTTGACGGTTTAAGAGAAAGTGGTAAGAACTAACGTATCATCTTGAAACCTTTGAGGCTTCAAAAACAGGTGTATCTGGTCAGACTTAAACTCCTTCTAGCTCAGTATTACATCTCTAACCAATGACTAAAGCAATATACTGCCTGATAACTCCCCAAAGCATCTTCCTAGCCTTTTGCAGCTTTGAGGGTTTCGTGAGCCAGAGACGGCACTGATGTTTAATATCCCTTAACGCTGTGTTTCTCTGTGAGCGTGTCAGAAAAAAAACAATTGCTTCTACACTACGTACAGTTAAACTTTGGTTCTTAAATCTAAATACCAACTTCATTTCACTTTCAAAAATGTTGATTTGGAGTTATTTTCATTCAAGTTGTTATGCATTTGGCAAAATGGGAAACGCAAGAACTTTGTAAGAAATAGAGGTAATTAGATTTAAGATCTTGACTGTGCATTTTACCCATAATATCATTTCAAATGGCCTTTTTACAATGGTAGTGTCTGGGACCTCCCCAAGCTAATTTTGCTGGGTATAAACCTGGCTAAATATGTCCACTCAGATAATCAGCTCTTTGGCTAACTGCTGGGTTTCTTTAGTGCTTTTTAGGAATTGTGTTTTCTAAATGCATGTTCACAATCATTCATACTCTTTAAAATAGCTTCAGGACATCAAACTATTAAATTAAATGCAATTTAAGTAATTTTTAATGGTGATTTTTGGAAAGCTTTTTTAAATGACTGAGTAATTCGGTAGTAGTACCTGCCTTCTCAGAACATATGATACCATTAATGGCTCACACTGCTTCCTCCATTTCATGGTGTTTTTTTCAATGTAGTGCATTACTTGATCATTAGAATACTTTCCATTGTTGCTATAAAAGCATGATTATGAAGGAGATTGAAATTAAAAAAAAAATTGACCTTTCTTGGCTCCATGTTCAATTTTTACATGGAAGGATTTCCTTTTAAACACTTCTGAGTTCTTATTTCATTTTATAGTTTCATTTTGGGATATGTCTTTCTAGTCTAAGCAGACAGACGCTGCGCCAGAGAGTAAAATATAAAGGTTCTATATTCAACACAAAGCAAGTCAGCAGTCCAAATGTTAGCCTTCTGTTGCAAGCATCAGCAAAGAGGAGATAAATATGGAGAATGAATGGAATAAGATAAGTCAAAGTTCAAACAATAGCGTGGGATAGGGGAGGCAGGAGGCTAGAGATAATTAAAAATACAGCTACCTTGTTCCAGTCAGTTTACTTAAACTTTGAAAGAAGAGCATAATAAAACATTTATTTTTAATTGTAGTCAATCTCAGGAAGTATGTTCTGTATTGTTGTCTCCTTCTGAATCTTTCTCTGTTATTTCTTAGGTTTCTGTCCACTGCCTTGTGCGTCAGTGGAATTTGCTTCGCTGGAATGAGATAATGGCCTCTTCAATCAGTTGAAAGAAAGGGGTGAGCAGCTTTCTCACAGCCAATATTTCGTCATGTTTAGAAAATCATGTGCAGTGGAAGCAAATTTCATTACACCTTTTGATGAAAAGTGAAGCTGATTCTAGATATTTCTCCTGTCAAACATGAGAAGAAGGCTTGTTTTGATTTGTTTCTGTTCTGCTTTGTATGTGAATGTAAGGATGTATGTTATACAGCAAATGCCAGTACTTAAGTAAATAAGAATGGACAAATAGCCATAGTGAATCTTCCAATCACCCATTTCTCTCTAAATGTATTTAATGCTAAGTACTTCAAAAGAAGGTGTATAGGGAAAAAGATTATAAGGAATAATTATGTGTTAACAAGTCTGTTGGGTAGTTTCTTCACAACCCTAAGACAATTAGTGGTTGACTTATACCCTGGAGCATAACTATTTATATCTCTTACACACATCTGTTGTGGCTTGTATATCTTAAAAATGATATTACTAAAGTCCGGCAGCTTACTTGCACCTTATGTTAACATTATTGGGTGGTCCCTTTGCTTTTAATTATGAAGGAGTACATAGACCAAGAGAGGAGTGATGTACGTTAAGTAATCACTTTGTGTACGTGTTTCCGCTCGCCTTTAAATCTTTTTTTTCTTGGATACTGCTTAACTTGCAGAAAGTTGTGATTATTCCCCTTAATTTAGCTTCTTCTTTCTACTGCATCATACGAATTCGTACTTATTTTTATCAAAAGCTTGGATTTTATTCCTTTCACTTTTGTTTTGCAGAACACAGTGCTTTTATGAATTCTTTTGCTACCGATGTCAGTGGAGTTTCTAAATGCAATTCATGTGTCAGCTTCCAGTTTACAGACCTTAGACTTTCCCTTGGATTTTCCTCACGCTTTGTTTACAAAATAAATAAAATGAGAGTTGATTTTGTTCTGCATGAAGCAAGCTGGCTGACTCTCAGCCTCAGGTTGTTTTTGTTGTTTGCAACTCTTTGAATGTAACACAAATGCACTGTATTGCTTCTGCTCTCAATTTTTCTCAGGAAGAATAATTAGAATTTTTAAAGCAAAGTTGTCCAGAAGTCATGTGTGCTTAGGCCTACTTCAGATACCTTAGGCAATATAGTATTAGATATAGCTGTTATAGCTGGTTAAAGATGGTCCTGCTGTGAGTTGATAATCGCAATGCATGAGCCAGAAATTACCACACTAATAGGTCAGCCAAGAGCAGGGGTTGTTTGAGTGCATAGCAATGTGCTTCAGACAAAGTCAGCTGGTTTACATCATAGCCACCTTTAACAGTGGGTTGAAATAGCCTGGCTGACTTTATGTAAAAAGGATCAGAAACCATTCACATGTTCTTGTGAGCTCAGTGGTAGAGCTGTGGAAGTAATTAACTCTGGCAGGGTGGCAGTGATAAACATCTGGGAGTGATAGCAGCTTCAGCTAGCATCATTGTTTGCAGAATGAACATCTGCTTGGGCTGTATATCTGCTAACTAGAACTAGATACTCTATCCTAAATTGGATTATAAAAGCCAAATGAAGAAATACCTTTTCAGTCATTTTTCTTAAAGTCTAACACAGTTTGTTTCTTACTACTACTGGATAATGAGGAGATATTTCTCTTTCGTCAACCAAAGTAGTTCCTCAGTTAATTGCCTCAGTTTAAATGTGTGATTAGCTCAGTTTGTTCTTGATTTGCAGTAGTTATCTTCACTGAATTTCATCAGTTGCTCTCTTGCTAATAGCTTAACCTTCCTCTCCTGTAGTTATAAGTCAGAAGCAAAGCTCTTATGAGAAATAAAGGCTATACCCATACAGAACTGTTTCCATGTATTCTGGTGGGAAAGGGTAGGGCCAAAGCCCTTTTTGGTGAAATAATCTATGAATCTAGCTCAAAGCTGTGCACCTTTTTCTTCCTTCGTATGGCCGTGGGGGTGGTTCGCAACGTGGAATGCCTCTTCTATATCGAAATCTGGACGGAAGGGGCAGTCCAACTTGCTTGATTCCCCTGACATTCTTGCCATGTTTTATCATCTTCAGGAGTTTAAATGTATTACCTTCAGATCGTGTTGCTTCCCTCTTCATGCTCTTCTTCAGGTCACTAATATTATTTCACAAGTCTGTTAACTGTAAGGTACTCTAAAGACACCGTGCTTAAACCTCTTTACCTTTTCCTATTTCCTCGTTTTTGACTAAGAACTTCATCTTTCTCCCACAGCTAGTTTCTTTAATAGCCTTTTATGAAGAACTTCTTAAACTTCTAAAATAATTACTAAATAACATTTACTATTTCTTTGTTATTTGATTAATTTGACATGTCCAAATGATGTTTGTATATTAAAGGTTTTGTTTTAACTTTGAGGTTAGCCTAGTTTGTACTTCTGATATCACAGTAAGAAATAAGATGTATGCACTTTGGGAAAGAGAAAAGCAGGCTTTTGTGTGTGTCCCTTCACTCTGATGGCAAATACAGACAGACATTAATGCTGTGTTTATAAACTGTCGTTCCTGAAAGGAGAAAAGATGTTTAAGCATACGGTAAATGCTGAAAGGGCTAATGTTGGAATGTGTCCCCTTGATGTTTTCAGAAAGATACTTGCACTTTGCTGTTGTGGCAAGTGCTGATTTAAACTTCAACATCAAATGATTGAGAACTACAAAAAATAATTCTAATATACTGCTATCAGTAAGAGTGTCGGTGTCTTCTCTTCCCTAGTGTTTTTTTTTTCCTTTTGGTGGACAAATCAGTAAATTTTTGGAGTTTCAAAGAAGTAGATACTGATGTTTTGTGACGACAGAATGACAGTTAACTTGAGTCTATGAAAGCCCTTCAAACTCAGTGGGGCCCTTCAGCAAATACAGTTCACAGTGGGATTCGAGTTATAAACCCAAGACAAACGTAGCAAGAACTTTGAAATGTTTCTTGTTATTTTTAGTTCCATAATGCAATAGTGAAAAACTGTAAATTACATTCATGTAGTTTATTTCATGTCATTTAACGTGTTTGGGTTAGAAGCCATAAAAGAACTCAAGCACTTTTCTGAGGTAAATCTCCAGGAAAAAGCTGAAGGCTCACCTAAGAAGTTTCTATTTTTGTAATCCTTTTTTATTTTGTATTTTATTGGATTTTTTTTTCCTTACAGTGTGTAAAGTGAGAACATTTTGCTTATGCCTTGTTTTGAGAGGAAAATGTATACAAGGAGCAACTGTTGACTTAACTTGCCTTTTTTCTGTGGGGGCCTTCTGTGATCAGTCTCTTCATCATATTCTCAGTAATATTAATGGCAGCTCTGTAGAAGCTGGAGGTAGACTAAAGCTTATGTATTTGTGTATGAATAATAGTCATGTGACTAAGTCATAACAAAAGTTCAGTTTTGGCAAACATGAATAACCTGAATATGTTTCTCTGGCTGAACTGGGAGCGTAGTTAAGCTAAGCTAAATCATAGAACAACATTTGAGAGAGCAGATCAGATGATGACTAAAATGATAAGGTATTTCATGATCTGGTTTATTATTTTTTTTAAATGGTAGCATTAGAATTTATCGTAAGTTATTTACTGTATAACTTCACATTTTAGAAAGCAGAAACAGTAGAGATGAAGCTGTAAGTCAAGTAGTTGGAAAGAGTTTATTAAGAGGTATTAAACGTCAAAAAAGAAATGTTAGTAGAAGTATGAAATGCAAGAAAGATTATTCAGAGTTGCTTAGGTAAATTAAAAGGAGCTTCATCTTTTCCTAAGAAAATACAAGGATTGTGGAAATCCCTCACGCCCCCTTTCTTTAAGGGGAAAGTATGGTGTTGCAATATTTGTATAAAAATCTGAAAAGGTATTCTTTATACTAGTGTTAATATAAACTTAAGGATTAGGGCGGTTTTTGGACTTTGTTTGTCTGTTTTGTCAATGTTATTTGGTGCTTTAGTGATAATTTAGCTAAGTGTTTGTCGTGGTGATGTCCAAGAAGACTGTATGGCAGAAAGGATATTAGTGTCTTCCTCGCCTCCGATTTGTGTAAACAAAAAAGAAAAAAGTAGAATATTAACATTTTGACTAGGGGTACTTTAAGTCACATACTAATATATTTTATTTTTGGTGTATGTTAAAAATATACTCCAACACTAAAATCTCACGATGTTTGCATGTGAGAGCTTTGGTGTGTGAGGGCATGATTTCTGCCAGACTCTTCTTAGGAGACTCATACCATTTTGAACTAAAGCATTGCAAAGAACTCTCTTCTCAGGAGATATTTATTGCCTCCAAACTAGAACCAGAAAATACTTCCGCTAAAGCTATTAGAAAGAATCTAAATGAAGTCTCTATTCTAAACTGTATTCTAAAAAAAACCCTATATTCTAGGACAGAAGTTCCCAGACTGTAGCATACCTTTTATCTAATGGTCCACAAACAACTTTAAGATGATATATGCATGTTGTCTGCAGATAGGAACTTATTCAGCTGTGCAAGCACATGGCCCAGTGCCAAAACCAAGATCTGCTCTGTCTGTTCGTACTGATGGTTCCCAAGGTACTTTTGTTTGCATAAGATGACATAGGCTCCCAAAGAGTAACAGCTTGATTAAAGAATTAATGAGTGAAAGTCAATAAGCTAGATTGTAAAGGAAGTCACAGTTATATGGTCATGATGAACTACTCTATCTTAAAGCTGCAAAAAAGGAAATAGCAATTGTGCTTGGGAAACCCATTTTGAATAGAGTTTTGTACAAAGTAAGGCTCAAGGTTTGTCCTGGGGAGTTAGGAATTGTCTGTGTGCCTGAAACTGTTAAGTAAACAGAGAAGGGAATCTTGAAGTCTGTCCTAACATTTCCTAAATGAAACATTTTACTTGAGATTGTTCTAAACTGTAGAGAAAAATGTCCAGAAATGTAAAAATTGCTCTTCAAAATGGTCATACGTGATAGTTGTATGGTGTGGTGAAGGGAAGATTTGAAAACATTTGAAAAGCTTGTAGTGATTAAAGATATTGCAAAAGAAAAAAAAAAAGTTGTTTTAGGGTCAGATCTTTAGCTGGTGAAAATTCTAATGCCTAGTTCAACGTTACTGACATAGGCAGAAGGGAGCAGAAAACTTGGAAGTAATACCTGATGTAATCTTTTTACAAGGCCTGAGCTCTTATGAGCATATATACGTATATTTTTATAGTAGCTAAAGCCTTAAGACTCCTACTTGTCAAGGAAAATTGGGCGCTGTGGTAATATTTAACAATAATGGCTTAATGGATTGTTGTAATGTCTGATAATCTGCCAAGAAAGTGAAATTAAATTGTTAGTTTGATGGATAAACTTTATCTAATGATAGTGTTAAACTAAAATTTTCCCCTCACAATTTTTTTTTGAACATATATATGACCTGAAAAAATACTTAGCTCATCTAGGCACCAAACGGCTGCTAACGCTTAGAGGAAATGCCATGCATAAACTGCTTGTATCATAAATACCAGTAGAATTAATATTTTCAAAAGCATCACATGCCTATAAAAATGAGATTTCTGAATTCCTGAGTCACTTTTCAAAGCATGTAGTCATCTAGGCCGTGTTGTTTAAAGAGAGCTAGGCATTGTTCCATTCTTCATTGGTGCTCATATGGCTTAGATAGTAAACTTGGGATTTCAGAAATGATTTGATTTCTAAAGCTAATTTCAGGCATTTTGGTATATAGGATTCATACTCATAAGTAAACAGAGTATTTCTGAACATTTGGAGTGCTGGTTGTAGACTGTAATTATTTCAGTTATAGTAATGTTCAGTATATTGTTAGCCTTTTCAAAACACAGAAACGTAAATCTGTGCTCCTTTCTGTGCTTTGTATATTACCTTACAATAAGTTAGTTGAAGTAGCGCAAAAATAAATGCTTAGCTTTACCTGAAGTTTGTGAATGTAACAAGACCTCATCCTTCTGGAAAAATCCTGAGTTAAAATGGAATGGTACAGTGACCTCTTTATTGATGAAACCTATAGTGATTTCCATCATGGTATTTTCTTGAGAAAATGCGCATAACTATTTCATTATCAGTAAACGAACCTTTTTTTTTTTTTTATTGCATAAGTCTTAGTTATTTTTTGTCTTTTAAAAATGGATTCTAAGTAACTTTCCTAACTGACATCTTTTACTTTTTTTAGAATGTTTTAGGATGATTGGACATAATTAACATTTTATTAAACATGATGGCAACACAGACATTAAGTATAGATAACTATCAAGATGGACAACAGGTAAGCGTGTGGTTTCTTTTTCTCTGTGAATGAATACAGTTAGCAAGAGAAAAATGTAGTGGCTTTTTCTTTAGTGCCTGCTTTGTCGTTATTTATAAATGTTGGTTATAAAAACGAGATCTTTAAAGTGATGAACTAACACACTTTAATACTTGGACACTTTTATTAAAGGCTTATCTTTCATAATTTTGCTTAACTTCTGAGAAATGGTTAGATAAGGAATTTTTCTTCTGAATCTGCCCTAGGTGATTTGTCCCATGCAGTAATGTTCCTTTTTTTAGGAAAGTCAAATGGGTATCCTTAATATCTTGTGCATGGACAAAATATTAGTATTTTTTGTATGGACTCCTGTGCTCTTGTGCTTCCGTGTTCACAGTGACATTTAGGCAGTCATAGACATGTTGGTCTTGAGCAAGTGAAGCATAAATTTAGTTAACTAGAATTATATGGCAACAACTTAATGTTTGGTTGGTTGTTTATGCTGCAGACTAAAAACTGGTAAAATACTTTAATCAATAACCTCATTAAAAGTCATAATTAGAATTAAAATGTTGGTCAGTTGGTCTTACATACTTTCGTTTCTGTTAAAAACAACTAGATTAATGAAACATGCTCTTTTGGATATGCCTGGTGATGATGTTTCTTTTTTGTACAACAGGCTGTATGTTGCAACAGTTTCCATAACTAAATTAAAATACTGTTAACTGGAGACTAGTCATGCCCTGGCCTGTACTCTGAGCACCCATTTTTATGTTACTATGTGTCAGCCCTAAGCAGTAAATGCAGGTACTTCTGTCAGCAGATGGCAACAGTAGCGAACAATCAGAAGAAAACTAGCAACTTTTCCCCTCGCTCATAAACAGATGTTTATCTGAATGTAGTCTGTTTTGTTTACTCTTTTATTGGAATTCTGATTTCTCATTCTCATCTCACCTACCTTACCTCTTTACTTTATTCCCCAGAAAATACATACCTTCCTCTGACAATATGTTAGTTAAAATAATACATGCTTTTGTAAAGAACAGGTTGGAAGCAAAGCGTTTTCTTTCCATTTGTTTTGTATCTTAAGCTCTCAGTGACCAAGATAGGCAGGTAATTTTGGTACCTGCTGCTTCCGTAGTTTAGAAATGCCCCACCAAAAAAAGCTAGCAGTTTTAAGTGAGCTATTTCCTTCTTCTAGTAAGATCTCCTCCACCTTCAAGCTCTGCAGATGTATGGCTCAACATTTATAGTAGCTTGTATGTGTCATCCCCTTTTATTTTGCCATTTCTTCCTGTCATTAGCCAAGTTTGCAAGCACTCTGGCATAAAAATCACCTATGCTTGCTGAGGAAGCTTTTTGCAAAGCAGGTGCTCTATTGGATAGGATACTTTGTCATTTGCTTAGTTTCTTGCTTAGCTAGAAGGTGGCTTGACCCTGACAGGTAATAAAGCACAAGCCTTTCAGTTCTCTCAGTCCCTTGCTGGGATAGTATAAATTCCTTTTGCTTCTGTTGTGTGGAAATAGATGAATTTCTATCAGAGTCAGATTCTCAGAAGGTTTTTGGAGGCCAGCTCTTTTCTTGGGGAGTTGTTCCTGAGAGAACATGTTCCTGACATGGTATACCTCATGAGAAAAGAGGGGAGAGGACTGCCTTCTGTACACTAAGTTCATTTCTGAAGGGGTTGATTCTGACTGCATGGGGGTATGTAGAACAGCATCTCTTTTGTGATCAAAATAAAGCTTGATAGGCTCAAAGCAGAAGATTGCAGTGACTTATTGCCTTTGTATGGATGTAGTCAGCGTTCAAAAGGGAGAAAACCAAGGTGATTTTGTTTTATTTTGTTTGTTTTCTTTTTTGAAGGGAAGCTATGACTCTCAGGGGTCAGGTTCCTTAAGATACCTTTTAACCTAAAAGATTTTTAATTGGAAGTGATGGAAAAACCATTTGCTAAGCCTTAAAAGCACCTCAAATGTATTCCCAGCCACCTAGTGCACTTTAAGACGTGCTAGGTAGAGGCTGTGGCTCTGTGGTGGTGTTCCAGTGCTGGCAGATTGTGTGACAGTGCTCTGAAATAGATCTGGTGAAACAATCTGTTTTTGTAGACAAACAGTTGAGTTGAGTGAGTATTAACACCTGGAGGGGTAGAGGGTGAACAGGTAAAAAGCCATAGAGAAACCTAAAGGCTCTCCCTCAGAAGAGGGGAAGAGAAGTCTTCAACCAGATTCACTGCTAAGGGAAAAGTGAGGCGGGACTTAAGCTGTTGTTGGCCCCAACATGATCAACAATATTAATGTGAGGTTTTCTCTAACATTATCCGTGTGACTATGGAATTATACAATCTCTAAGAAGTTTTATAGGACTTTGTATTCTTTTCAGTAATATTTTAAAAATGTTTATATTTTTGAAATTCTTCAGAGAAATTACTATCTCACCTTTTTCTTTCTTTTTTCTCCCTACCCTAATATCGCAGTCCCTTACTGCTCCACTTATTTGCAGACCACCAATCCAGACTAGTCATTTTTCACTCTCATGCAGATTTATTGTTTTAGACTGACAACTTTTACACAAGATGATTAAACTTGTTGTGTACGAATATGTGAATGGCATTTCGGTAAGCTGGCAGATGTATGACTTACAAAAATACTTTTTAATCCAAGTTGCTTAGCTTTTATTTCCTCACAAATTGCATAAATGTTTTTGTTAAGCAGATGTAGTTACTGCTGTTTTCTCCCATAGCTTGATGTTCCTAACTTATTACCTCAGTATGTAAACTTGAATGCTAAAAGTTAGGAGAAGTTATGTTCCTGATCATTCAAAGATTGGTAAGACACAGAATATTTTAGTTTTAGTTAGAAAGTGGACATTTTAATGAACAAGAAAAACTAGCTTCAGAATCTCTTTGCTTCAGTATCCTGATATGTACAGTAAGGAATTAGAAAGAAAACCCGTATCAGAAACTTTCCTTCCTGTTGTTTTCATCATAAAGGCTCTGTATGTAGGCATCCTCATAAAATTTTGGAGCAACGTACTCTACCCTATTCCAAAAACAGCTACTTGAGAGACAAAATATTTTAACAATCCACTAATATTTGTCATTCCCATTTTTGAAGCTGAGTGCTGAAACTTGAAGTGACCTTTACCCGTAAAAAAGTGTCAAGGATTAAAAGAGTTTTTTTGTTACTGCTTATGTTTTCTGTGCAACTGCCAAGTCATACCAACCTTCTGGCTATTTAGCAGCCCTTTGCATTGCTATTTCCTTAGAAAACAGTGCACTTATTTTACGTCAAGCATACAGATTTACTAATAATTTATCCTCCTTTTTCTACAGATGCAAGTAGTAACAGAATTAAAAACTGAACAAGATCCAAACTGCTCTGAAACTGATGCAGAAGGGGTGAGTCCTGCCCCTGTAGAATCTCAGACTCCAATGGATGCAGACAAGCAGGCTATTTACAGGTAGTAATGGGCTTGTGTTCTGTCTTTTGAAGGATAAAGAGTAGAGTGGGATTTTTTGTGTGGTTTTTTTTTTGTTTGGTTGGTTGTTTTTTTTTTTTTTTTTAACAAGAAGCATATTAAAATCAAATGATCTCTTGGCTATTTGTCTCAGTAGTTTGCAAGGAAAGAATCAGATCAAATTAGTTTCATTACCAATCTTTACCTAAGAAAAACTTCCCTTTGTTGTGGGATTCCTTGTACTTCAGCATAGTTTTGAGATTATTCTAAAGAGAGCTGCATTTAAGGAGCAAGTGCAATTTAGCAAGCTGTTCAGTTGAACTGTGATTACTATTTTTCATACTGTAGTTTTTATCTTAAATGTCATGTTTAATTTTTATTGTGATTAGGTCAATCTTTATTCCCTTTTTTTAGGATGACGATCTGTTGCCTAGTAGTTAGCTCAAACTGAATTAAATGTTCATGGAAAATTGTAAAAAAAAAAAAAAAAAAAAATATTTTGAAATGTTAAGTGCTGTGCTGAGCAGTAAGTGCCGTTTTGATGAGTGTCAGTGTTCTTTCATTTTAATTGCTTTATAAAGATGTAGTTATAGCCAGTGAGCAGGTGAAAAACTGAAGCAAAAAGACTGAGCACAAGTCTCCAAATGAGTGAATAACAAAATTATCTTAGTTCTGCTCTGAGCCAACCTCAATGGTTGCATAGGAGGCCGCCGAGTACAGCCTATCTACCATTCTCAGTTTTATCCATCTATAAGGCATTTTGTGATACGTAAATAAGACCCACATTGAAGAGTATGTGAATTTTATCAGATTTGGTGATTTAAATCTGGATTCGTACTATTTGTAACTGCTAATCCCCATTTCTAATGCACTGTATTAATGTATCTCTTGCCACTCAGTTACAGTAAATAAAACAATATGCCATAGCTTTGTAGGTCATGATTGTTCTATTTATATATTTTACTAAATATATAATAAAATATATTTATTTTACTGCTTTACTTGTATCTAGATTGTACAGTAAATCAAAATAAAAAAACAAACTTTCATCATGTTCTGCTATAGCTAATTGTGTTAGATGCAGTCTTTTCCAAGACTTGTCTTTCTACTTCTTACACAAGTGACTGTTACCTTACATGAGGTAGATACTTAATTTTTCAGTGGTGTACTTGTAAATGAAATACTTACTCATCTATTTAAACCCTTATTCTAGGCACCCGCTATTTCCCTTGCTAGCATTATTATTTGAAAAATGTGAACAATCTACACAAGGTTCAGAAGGCACAACTTCTGCTAGTTTTGATGTAGATATTGAAAATTTTGTAAGGAAGCAGGAGAAAGAAGGAAAACCGTTTTTCTGTGAAGATCCAGAAACTGATAATCTGGTAAGCATAAGCTGTTCATTTTATTTATTAAAAAGTCATCATGTTTACCTCTTCTTCCTAATTTCTTGTCTCAGCTGGTACTCATGGTTTCTCCCCAGATATTTCTTCCTACAGGGCATTCTTTTCCTGTATTAATGCTGAAAAACATTTTCTGAAGTTTCTTCCAACCTTTTTTTCCCCCTTATCTGTAAACTTTTATTGGCTCCTTCACAGTCATTTCCTATACTGGCTTCTAGACTGGCTCAGATCATGTGTAAGAAATGAGCAGAAACATGCTTGCCATAGTCAAATTGACCCTACAAATCAATGTTAAGGTGTCAAGTACATAAAGTATGTTTGCCAAAAAAATGTAATCAGTAGAAGTTATTCCAGCTGGTTTTTGTTTGTTTGTTTAGCCTGGGGTCTAGTTAATGTTAAAGGAGAAGTTAAAGGAGAGAAAGCTGAAGATGAAGAGTTGTTATAAGATGAGCTTGCGAACTCTAATACGTGTTTGCTCATACGCCGTTGTGTCCTTTAGACTTTTCTGAAAATCCTTCCTGTGGTGAAGCTGTGATTTCTCCAGGCCGTTAGTGTCCTGCTTGAATCACATCTCTAGAGAACATCTCTTTTGGCTTTCTTGCAGTGCTTGTTTCTAAACTGTCTGCCTGCCCTCCTCTTTTTAGAATTACGTCTCAGCTAGATTTTTATCATACTCAAGAGTGCTCGGATTACAGGGGTCATGTGTTAATGTACAGCGTGGTGGGGTTTTCTGGGTTTTTTTGGTTGGTTGTTGTTTTGTTGTGAATACCTGGTCTCTTAAGCAGATTGTGTAATAGAACAAGTCTGCATCCTTGAGCCTACCTCGTAGGAGAAAAGGCTACTTAATATTTACGTACACAAGCACAACTAAATTGGTAGGAGCTGTAAACATCAGTCAGAAACAACAATCTTTTATAATGGATATCTAGAAAGATTTAAGTCTGCAATTAATATCCTATGTGGAAGACTAAGGTAATGTAGCTGGTAAAAGCTTTTAACCAAAACGAAGACGTAATGAGAGAAATGTGAGATGCTGCTTTGAATTGACGGAACAGCATGTTAGGAGGGCACGTACACTTGCAAAAAAAGGGGTGAATTTTGGCTGCTTTTGCAAGCATGCTGACTAGTCATTTTGCGTAGCTTGATTTCTTTCCAAGCACTTTATGACTGATTGTCAGTGTCCTGAGTTCTGAGCAGGCTGTATTGAAAAACTGTCATGAAAAATAAAGCTGAAAGAGCCTTTGTGTATTACTAGAGCAGTGTGAGAGGAAAGAAGACAGAGAAGAGGACAGTATGTTGTAGAGTGAGGCAGGCTCACAGGCTGTTGTAGAGTGAGGCAGGCGTTTACAACTCTAGCTAAAGAGGCTTACAAAGTTACCTTCTCAGCTACTTGTTACCTCTTTTTAATTGTAGGTTACAGTGCCCAGGACTGAAATATCTTAATAGGTTGTGTCAATGCTGTTAGTCTATGCAAACATGAAGTCAGGTTAGTTTAAATCCTCCTTAACCGTGGATCAGGGTAACACAACGCACTTTGCACTGGTCCACCTGCAGGACTGCTTTTGAAAAGTTCTTGCATCTTGGCTGTGGAGCTGATGACTTGTACGCAGTTATGAACCACTACTGGTGAATTTCCAAGAGTTTTGCTTGTTTGTTTTGCAGAAGCTTTTACTCTCAATTTGGAAACATTTGGAGGCTCAAATAAGATTTTAGGATAGAAGGCGACCTAAAACAATGCACTTCAGAAAGATGGGAAAGCAGTTAAAGGAGGAGTCATAGGCTTTTAACTACCTCAGAGTACCTTGTGCATATGAAATGTGTCTTTTTCCCAGTACATAAGGATAGTCTCAATATTAGTGTGAAGATTTTCAATTTATAAATGAAGAACAGGTGTTGCCTGTTTGACCAAAGTTGTAGCCAGAACAGAATTTAAACTGCAGAGTCTCAGTTTAATATCTTGATATTTAGATCTCCATGGACAAATTGTGATGCAGTCCACCTGACTAAGATTTAATGGTACAGACAATGACTTAGTTTTCCAGATAGAAGGAAATATTAACATACACACTGAAACAGTTCCATGGATAAAACCTGTAGCGGAATGAGTATTGCTGCTGTAGGAAGAAAAAAGTAGAATGTGAAAGAGACAAAATGAAAGCAAAGGGAAATAAACTGTACTTTTCCTCTCTAGCTACAGCCCTAGTATTAGAAGCAGTGGTGTGGGGTGCTTTGTTTCTTTTCTTTGAAATGTCAGTGGAGTAGCACTATGTTTATGAAATACTTAGAGCACAATATAATGATTGCCTTTTAAATGTAAGCAGAAATGAGTGCTTCAGAATGGCTATAATGAGATGGTCCTGTTTCAGTATATGAGGAGCTTGGCTGTTACATTAGGGCACAGAAATCTTTGGAGGTTGATCTGCACTGGTGCCATCATTTTAGATATTTCTTCAATAGGAGAAGGAATGTCGAAAACTGGCTGAACTGCTGGGCTCAAAGGGTTATTTATGATCAGCAGCATGAAGTCCAGTTGGAGGCCAGTCACTAGCGGTGTACGCCAGAGGTTGATACTGGGGCAATGCTGTTGAACATCTTCATTAATGACCTGGGTCGTGGGACAGAGTGCACCCTTAGCAAAGTTGCGGACGATACAAAATTGGTTGACACACCAGATGGTTACGCTGCCCTTCGGAGGGACTTCTACAAGCTGGAGAAATGGGCTCCTACTTCCAACGGGAATCTTGTGGAGTTCAACCAAGGCAAGTGCAGAGTCCTACCCCTGGGGGGGAAGAACCCCGTGTTCCAGTACAGGTTGAGAGGCAACCGTCTGGAAAGCAGCCTGAGGGTTGCGTTCAAATAATCCTTCTTTCTGGTTGACCTGTTTCTGGTTTTAGTGGTGACAAAGTCACTTAGTTTATGTGGTTCTTATGTTTGTTGATGGGCTGCACAAATCCGGCTGACTTTGCTTGAAATGGATGAGGACATCTAGTGTTTCATGGTGCAGCTGTGGTAGGAGGTACGTACCTATGACAGCTGAGGTCAGTACTGTCTTGAACTGGAACCACATTGCAAAATGAACTTGTCTTTGGCATTGGACTCCTGTTCTGTAGCCATATTGTTATCCATGCTTTTCTGTTACCAGATACCAAATGAAATCTGAGTATGACTTCTCCTCTGCCTGTCCTGGGGGTTGGGAGCTGCGAACAGCTGCCATGCTGCCGGGCAGCTCATTTTGTCAGGGGCAGCAAATAGAAGAGCAGAAGAGTTTCTTCAGGTTGAGGAATAGCTAATACATTATTCAGGCTGTTCTTCTGTTTGATATGTTGGTGCTTGCACAGAAAAGACTGTAGCTGGGTTTAGCGGCAGTTTTTTCTTCCTTGTGTCATATCAATAAAATAAATGTATAAATTTTTGCATAGATTTAAAAATATCTGTGGTAGAGGTGGGAAAGTAGGAGAGATCCTAATACTATGCTCCTTTTGTTACTGGTCCTCTTTTTCTTTTTTGGTGGTCGCTCCCTTTTTAACTTTAATGTTAAATAAACCGTACACTTGAAGGGAGAAACTAGCAGATACTGTCAATTAGAACAAACTGGAAGGGTGGAGTGAGTAGGCTAGACAACTACTTTCTTTCCAGCTGTGCTCTTGTCTGATTCTGGTGGAGTCAAACAAGTAAGGTGTAAATGCTCATTCAGCAGAAATCATTCAACTTAGAGCCAGAGCTAAACTGAGATGAGTCAAGCATTTTAGGACTATAAAAAGCAATACTCAAGTCCTATAGCAACAAGAGTCACAAGCCTGCCTAATGTAAGGATACTGGCCAGTAATTCAGTTAGTTCAGTGTTTTTGTTTTTTGTTTTTTTTTAATGGCTTGTAGATCTCAACTACTCCGGACAGTTTATATGATGGAACTGGAACTAGTGGCTCCAAAACAGAAGAATTACTATTTCAGTGTCTCTGCGAGCTTTAACTGGCTCCATACTGCTTAAAGACTAATTGACTAGATACCAGAAATTCTCAATTGTCACAGATACTGATTGTGGGGGTTCTTACAGATGAATGTTAGTATCCTGACAATGTTTCACATTGCACACTCAGTTGAAGTGCCTTGAATATTCCCCAGAAAAGAGTTTATTTTGTATCCAAAAGAGTTTATTTTGTATTATTATAAAATGTTAATCTGAAAGACACAGACATTAGGTCAGTTTGGCCAGAAAGGAAGTTCATTAAAAGCTGTGTTAGGTTGTGCTAACCTGAGTAGTTCTTAGCAAGCTAAAGTCTAGATTACCTCTTGTTACTTTGATATTATGGTATCTGTTCCGCTCTAAATTAATTGGTGGTTTCCTTCCTTAATAGTATGAAGGATTTCAGCACTGGGAAATGCAGGGAGAATCCATTTGAAATTTCATGTTAAGGACAGTCTTGGTCCATACATGGTTAAGCCTAGCCTATAAACGGAGTTTCAAGCCTTTTTGATTATCTCTATAGAGAGATTCAGCTCTTTGAAGTTACAGCATCAACAGACTCAGTTGATGATCTTGAAACCATATGACAAAGAGTATGGTCAACATAGAAATAGTGGCACTTGGCCACTTTTGCAGTGTCTTACCCAAGTCTGACTTTCAGGTGTATCATCAATGTAGAGGGTTTGTGGTGAGACGGATGGAAGCATTTCCATTAATATTGATGGCTTCTGGATTGTGTCAGAACAGTGTTGTGAGGGTCCAGTGTATTTAGAAGCGCAAGAATCTCTCAGAATAGATTATAAGAGTTTGGAAAGAGGAGAAAAATGGCACTTCCTCATGCAAGGTTTCTTCCTTAAATGAATTTTTAAGGTATTCTGTTTGTGACATGGGCTGGACTAAACATTTTTTATTTGACTTTGTACAGCTGTTGCTACGTTCCTTTCACTTTGTGTATCAACCGTCAATTTGAAACTAAACCTAAACTGAAGAAGGGACTCTTATTTTCCAAACAAATGTGGATAAATAAATGTATGGGTAATGGTTTAAGGTTAAAAAAAAAAAAAAAATTTTTGGCTAAAAAAAATTAATTCATCAACTAATGCAGTGAAATATTGTGTGCCCAAAGGTAAATTATTTGTTACGTCAGTCTCAGCACAGCAAAGAGTAGATGAGAGAGGCTAAAAAACTTCTGTTTAAGGCATTCAGTAATGCATGTACTCTGTGTTGGTCTGCTACCTGTAAAGAATTTTTGATTTAAGTGTTTGGGTCTCTGAACCTCTTCAGCTATTGCAGCGTTACAGAATAATCATAAATAACTATGAAAGGAACAGGATATTTTTAAGCATAGGTGACCTTTTTTGTGTTAAAGCTCGTTAAATTTGCATAGTTTGTTAACTCATTTATGTTTAACGGCAATTTTAAAGGCAACCACTGTAGAGGAATATTCTAGAAGATTACCATCTTATATACCTCAGTGATGGGCCATTGCACTTCTTATTCCACAGACTTTTAGTGTTAAAAGCTCCTAAGAATTACTAGGTTTTAATTTGGAATAACTACCTCGAGTATATAGCTCAGATTTTTCTGCAACTGTGCTGTAAAGATTTTTTTTTTTCAAAGAAGGGCTAACATTTTCTTTTTTCTTACTGTTTTGGAGTGAGGGGTCTCTTGTTGGTTTTCGCATACAGTTTTCTAGATTGGGTGAATGTCATGCAGCTGAAAAACCTTGCTAAAAAAAAAAGGAAAAGATCTGTTGTACTAAAAGCTAAAGTCATCTTGAGGAGAGGGGAGTGCACCCAGAAGTTTGCTGGCCTTAATCTCCTTAAGATGCCCCGAATAAAGGCTACTTCAGCTCCCAGTTGGCTTCTTTAGCTAGAAGTAGTAAGTGGGCGCATGTAGTAAGCTCTCATTTCTGGTTGCTGGATTTCAGTGCTCTGGCTAGGTAAACAACTCTGTATATGTGACGAATCCTTCCAAATAATGGTAAAATGAAGCTATGCACTATGTTTTAAAATATAATCCATTAAAACATAATCCATTCAGTTTCATAAAACTGAAGGATATTTTTCTTGGCAATCTAGAATAGCAAGTAAGTGTTGGGGGTGGCACACTGTATAAAAATAAAATAAGTAATTATTTTGCCAGTCTGTTAGGTGCATATTTGAATGTCCTGGCTTTGCTACTGCACCATCAAAGCTGACACCATCTGGATTTAGTTTTAGCTTTTGATCTTCTGCCATGAGCCTTACTATCACCTACGCTATTTTTATGCAGTATGTAATACCCCCAGCTATCACAGCCTACAAGTCTTTTTTCTCACAGTAAGCATAATGAGGATTCTCATCATGTTCATATCTCCCATACTTCATTTTTTCTTTAATTGTGGATTTGTGAAAAACTGTTTAGTTACTGCAAGCATTGCTGAACAAGATGACAGACTCTTGAACCATTTTTGTTACGGACAAAATGACAGGCCGTTTCCTGTATCGTTCCTTCTCCCCCCAGCAATCTGCGTGACAAATTCATGCCAAGTCGTAGAAGGTTCTTCTCAGAGTATGTCAGATTTGTCTGTATACTGTTGGTTTTCTTGGTTCAGGGTGTAATGTGGAGCTGAACCTTATGTTTCTGACTTGACAACTACTGCTTACCCAGCCTGTTCCAGCCACACTTTTTAAAAAAGAGTGTATCTGGATGGGATTATTTCCCTTGACTTCTAGTCTTGTGTAATATATGACCCTGAGTTGTCTGATGGTGATAAAAGGTCACATGGCTGTGCACGCTCATCCTCTGCTCCATGTACACCTCGACCGTGCTCAGCCTTCCTAATGCATCAAATGTGACAGGGTCAAAAATTATATTATACTTGCATTTTATTTCTCCTGTTTTGTAGTTTAGTTAAGTCATGGAACAGTACAGATTTTATATATAAATGCATTCCTTTCACACTTCAGAAACACATGATCAGAGCTAGACTATTCTAGTAAGCACTCTGCAGTTAGTAACTCTGCTTTGATTGGCTGGTCTTTTTTACCAGAAAGTAATGCTTGCTTAAATCTCACATTAAATATTTTTGCAATTAACAGTTATTTTCATTTTGTTTCTGAAATACTTTCCAATTGTCTCCCTAGATGGTTAAAGCAATCCAAGTTCTACGTATCCATCTACTTGAGCTAGAAAAGGTTAATGAGCTCTGCAAGGATTTCTGTAGTCGCTACATTGCCTGCCTGAAGACAAAAATGAATAGTGAAACGCTATTAAGTGGAGAGCCTGGAAGTCCTTATTCGCCTGTGCAATCTCAGGTATGTTTCAAATAGTTATGTGGATTTGTACTTAAATTTCCTGAAGAAGTTATGAATGCACTTCTGTTGCTCTTAGTTTGTAACTAGAATTTCTGCAGTTTCTCTAACTCTTTCAAATCTGTTGCTAAGATTAGAAAGAGCTGTATCTGTGGGTGTGTGTGCATGTGCATGTGTGCCACTGCCTGGTGGGCAAATTTGTTAAAATGTGGCGGTGCTTAAAGAATCACTGTTATAATTGACACTCAGTACTTACTAGACATCTAGTCCTAAGGGGTGGTCCTGACATACAGAGGTGTTTGCTACATATTCTTGTCAGTCTTGTGACTTAAATTTCACTGTCTGAGATCCTTACTTAAGTTTTGGTATCTGGAGGTGTGGAAAGGAGAGTTTGAAGTTAGACAAAAATAACTTTGAAAAGATATTTTTGTATGGCTGTAACAGTCTTACTCCTGTAGAGACAGGAGGAACTGAATTTTGTATGTGGAAAAAGTAAAAATTATTCATAAATATTAAGGTATGTGTAAGAGTTTGAATGGTTGGTGCGAGTAAGAAGTTTCCTGAGTTGAATAAAGCGTATTAGGCACCTTGAATGCATACCTTAATACCTTCCAACTTTTAAAATAATGTAGTAATAACTGAAATTCTAAAGCTTTGATGCTTGTAATAAAAGTATCAAGGGTTCCTTTCATCTGTCCTTTCTCTCTTGTGTGTTTGGAAACTGTTTTGTCTTAGTTTTCATATACCTAGAATCATTTCCCTCCTAAAATGTCTCCAGACAGTTTTATGTCTTTTCTAGCAGTTGCTTTCATGAGGATTTTCAAAGATACTGATTGGTGGTAATGAGAAAGTTAATGTAGGTAATGATGCACCTCTAATGAAGTCTGTTTCTCTTTGAAGTTAATCCTATGTTTAAGCTCCAAACATGGTTTTAGAGCCAAAATTACAAAAGCATGCTTTATCTCCTTAAAAAAAAAAAAAAAAAGGCAGCAACTAATTGTTTTATTTTTCTAGCAAATTCCAAGTGCCATTGCAGGCACACTCAGTCCCCAAGGGATTATGGTGCCAGCATCAGCATTGCAGCAGGGAAATGTAACTATGGCAACAGTAGCAGGTATGACACAGTAAAGAAAAACTGGCACCTTGCTCTTCATTTTGATTTCTTTTATAGTTGTTATAGAGATAAACAAATACTTTTTAAAATGTCTTTTTTAACTCTAACAATGTCTGAAGAGTTGATTTTCTAATACAGTCAAGCGCCTTACTGGTTTCTGAATGTTGGTTTAATTTCTATGTATACCAAGCACATATATGTGAGTGGAGGTGGAGTTTAAATACAATTTTAAGATAACTTTCTGTGCAACACTACTTTTGTTAAAAGTAATTTCGGAGACTGGTTTTTTTTTTTAATCATTTTTCAAAAACACATATCTTTGTCAAATACATTTTTATTAGTTAAAATGTTGCACTTACTAGCCTTCTCTTACTTTATGCAATTTAGAACCACACCTAGATCTCACATGTGAAATCCTTGTGGTCCAAGTTGTGCTCCTATTCAATGGGAATGACTTTTGAATTGGAAAGTTGTGTCTTGCTTCTAAGCAAGGTTTTAAAAAAACCAAAAAACTTAAGTACCAATGGAAGAAAGCAATCCAGTCCATTCCTGCAGCGAAAGATCGCGGAGAGGTCATCCTAAGAGTCTGCTTGTGCTATGTGGCTTCAGTGTCGAGGACCTCCTATGTGTTCAGCAAGATGCTGTCATCTTAGTTGACCTGTACATCTAGTGTCACCCAGCTGACTGCCCCAGCCACTCAGCCCAGATAGGTGGCTTTTCAGCATTATGAATCGTGTTAGTGAAGAGTAGCCCAGCTGCAGCAAAGTGATAAATTCTTTTATAGCCTGGTGGTCAGGGCATTTTGCTTTGAAAACAGGAAAGGCTAATTTGAATTCAGATCTCTTATTTTCTGAGCAAGTACTTTAATTGGTAGGCTGCTAAGGTTGATGTTACTCCCACCCTCTCTTTTCAAGGAGAGGAGAGAGCAAGTTGGATGTATCCAAAAGGAACGAATTAAATTTGAGTTTTGTGATTGTTGTAAGCCAATCTGAAGGCATGCTAAAGCTGAAAGGGATCATTCTTCCGTATAACCTGCCATTGGCCCTTCTGTCCTGCCACTCCTTTGTATGGGCGCTAGCAGCTCAGTGAGTGGCTGAAAATTATGCAGCCAAAAACATATCTGTTTTTGCTAGGTTACCACACAGCTGCACAATGGCAAGTGCCAGCACTAGCAAGATACAGATGGGAAGAAGGGTAGGACTGCCCATTCCAGCATTAGCCTGCATTTAGGTCAGCATAAAGTTATGGTCAAATCACAGCTTTAGGCATCTATATCTAGAAAGTGTTTGAGGGGCTGTGAATCATAGCTTCTGAAGTTTTTCCAGTTAGACACTTCAACTTCAGAATTGCAAAGACAACTCGTCTTTCATTATTTGCTATTGACTGGCTTCAACATCCTCCATTGCACATGGTGAATGTTGTGGGGTTTTTTTGGTCTATATTCTTCCCCAACCCCATCCCCCAATTCATTGACTTCCTGTATACGGAACATTGTTGCATAACTTGGGTGTGTAAATACTATATTTTGGGGCCTGGGTGCCTAATTGTCAGCCACTGCAGTGCAAATCTTTTGACACTAAAGACTTTTAAAGTCATCAGAACCATTAGATTTAGCATATCTGAAGTACAGGGAAGCATAATCAAATTAGCATGTGTTCTTGTGGGTGGAAGAAACCGTAATGTAACGAAGAACACATCTTATTTGTCTAGTGGAAAAGAATAATTGATATGTTATCAAAACTGTAATATTGTCTGCAGTGATACATTTGTTTAAAGAGAATGAATATTTGAAGTGCTTTTCTCATCTATAATCTTTTATTGGGTGTTTTTTTGTTTGTTTGTTTGAAGGGGGGACAGTGTATCAGCCAGTCACTGTGGTCACTCCACAAGGTCAAGTGGTGACACAAGCACTGTCACCTGGGACTATTCGGATCCAGAATTCTCAGGTTTGTTTCATCGGCTTCATAGAAAAGTGTCCTGGGCTCAAATAAATCTCATTGTTTTTAAGAGTTTTGGTTTAAATCTGACATGGTGCCAGAATGAGCTTTGTGCACAAGTGCATAATAACTAATGTAAAATAAATGCAAGCACTGCAATGAAAATTACTAGTTTTATAACATGGCATAAGGTCCCAGAGAGATCTCTATTGCCATAACAGATTGTCATAGTTCCTAGCTGTTACCTTTCTTTTTTTTGTTGACAGCAAAAAAGCGTTTGTGCATGGGTGATTAAAAAACAGACCTTAAACTGGTTAAATAGTAAACGCTTTTTCAATGAATAAAGCCCTTCTAATTGTTGAGTTAGTTTTATGGCAGTGTGGATTTATGGTATTGCATTATGATGCCACTGCTGGTGTCAGAAATTTGACTTTTTATCAAGAAGGTTACCAGTAGTACTGTGGAAATGTACGTAGCTCCAAATCTATGTATGTTGAGAAATATTTTGCCATAAACATTTCAAAATACTGAGTTGAGACTATGGGTGACCCTCACATAGTGCTCATCAAAGCATATCCTAAAAGGTAGGGGCCAGCAGTCTTTTTAGGGAGGCTCTTTAGAGTTGGATCAGGAGAGCCCAAAGAAAAAAACTAAGGAAAAGGAAGTATGAAAAATAGACAAAGTTATGGAGAACCTTGCAAGCTTTCTCTTAGAGCAGAAAGCAGTAAATCAAATCTTTCAGGAACCTGGAGCTAATTAAAAATGTGAATCAGGAGCTATCATCTCTACAGTATAAAAATCTACTGGCAGTCATTGACTCCTTCTCTTCTCTTCTTCCTTCTCCCCTCTCATTCCCCCAGAAAGTATGCTGAGAGTATTCTTATCTTCTTTTTATTGCCAGTAGCATGTGTGTACTTGCCCAGATTCTGCCTTAGAATACATGCAGTTCTGTCCTTTTGGAAGGAAATGTGTAAAAATAGTCCCTTAGACTGAAGTATTTTTGGGGGAAAAAAGTAGTTTTTATCCCTCTGATGGGGGGGGGGAAGAGATATTGCATGGAAAATAATATATATATAGCTTATAAGTTTAAAAAAAAAAAGTTTACCCTTCCATACATATCTATCTGTGGCTTCTCTTTATGGTAACAGGAATCTCTAAACCCAGCTGTGCCTAGGTTTGGGCCTGTATTCTTTGTCAGCTATGGGAATTCCCTCTTCAAATTCTTCTTTCAATATTTCAGAGTACTGTGGAGGTGGGAAGGAAATATCGGGGGAGAGTAGTTGAAAGTTCGTTACAAATCTTCCATATATAAACAGACTATTTAGGATGTAAAACGTTATTTCTGAAAGAAAAATATGCTCCGAATTATATAGATATATGCTTGTGTGTATATATATGTCTGTGTGTGTGTGTGTGTATGTGTATACTTACTGTAATCTGATAACAAATCTAGCTCAGAAATTGTCTTTAAAACTTGTTTTCTATGCGGCATAGACGTGACCGGCTTGAAGAAATTGTTCTGTCTTGTTTGAAAAACTTGTCCTAGAATGACTGAAGTTACAATTTTCTGAAAGAGCATCTCATATGCAATTTATATATTGTTTCTTATTAACTTTGCCTAAATGCTGAAGAACATATCCACTGATGGTCACAGGTGGTCGTCTTTTTTCTTTTTCCTGACTTGTGTGCAAAGGATTGGTGAACCCATAGGAAGTGAAAAAAGAAGCAGAAGTGAGAGAGAAATATGAACCTTTAGAGAAACAGTAGCAAGGCTACTTGTGAATTAAGTGAATTAAGATTTCTGCAGTTACCTGAACCTTTTCCCCTTGATATGCCTTTGCATATACCTTCTTGCTCTTTGAGAATTTAGATGCATTTATTTAGCAGGACCTTAAATATCTTTGTTTGGGACGGTCGCGCAATAGTTAATTTTACTTTAATTCCTTAAATTAAGTCCTTAATCATAACTATTTTAGTTTCCGTGGTTGCTTATATCTGCATGTAGTCAGTATATCAGATTGCCAATTCAGCGTTGCATTTTACGCATGCTTTTCAGCATATGCAAATAACTACCTAGGGTGACAAGTCCATCACATTCACTATGTAGCGTAGAGTGGTACACAGGCTTATTCGCCTGAAGTCTAATATATAGATGGGTTTTATTCTAAAATATAGTAAATCGCAAGATCACAGCCTAACAACAGCTACAATTCTTAAAACAGGAAAGTTGCATAAAATCTGAAAACTATGGAAATCTAATAAAGTATTTGCTCTGCTTAAGGCCACTTTGGAGCGATACTACAGGAAAGCTGCTACTGCAAGCCTTCCCTAGCAAATAAAGTATCTTTTATAACCAGTGTTCCTAAAGCTTAGTTTCTTTTCATTCCTTCTATAAATGAATTATTCATATGTTAATACAAAGTACTGCTATTACTATGTTAACTTCTTTATTTCTTCTCAAATTATATTTGCAGCTTCAGTTGCAATTAAACCAAGATCTAGGCATCTTGCATCAAGATGATGGCTCGTCAAAAAACAAAAGAGGAGTTCTTCCCAAGCACGCTACAAATGTGATGAGATCTTGGCTTTTTCAGCACATAGGGGTAAGGACTGAGGATGATCAGGAGTCACAGGGTTTCATGCAACTCTTTTTAGGTAATCTCTTACAATTTACTTCATAAAGAAGGTAAATTTATTTTGTTGTCTTTTGTGTAATCTCAGTTCATTTTTCCCAAAATCAATTGGAGTAGTTCCACAGAGTCTAATCAGTTGATTTTATTATTATTTTTAATAAATACATTGCATTTGCACCCCATGATCTCAATAAACATCATTGAAAGGGATCTTTCTTTTCAGTATGTTGAGAATGTAGTGCTCTCTACACCCAGCTTTGTGGCACAATGAAAAAATAGTTCCTTTTTCTTTTTTTTTCTTTTTTTTTTTGTGGAGGAGAACTTCAAATTTTGTGAGATTATTTCCCTTTCAACAACCCTTCTGAGGCATGCCAATTGTGTTCCTGTCTACTTGTGCTTACAACAGAATATCTTTCCTTTGCGAAAATAGTTGTCCTTGAAGGATAAATAGGTCTTAAGTTATAGTATGTAATTGATGGATGTTTTCTGTCTTTAGCAGTTGATTTTACAACAGACAAATGATACAGGAAAACTGCATGTACGTTCCTATATTACGTGCACTCTTTTCATCCGTTTGTTTCAGGGTAGCTTTATTTTAACTAGAAGAGGCTTATCAGTACTCTCATATGACATTGCCTTTATACAGCATAACTAATCAGGTCTTATCACATGCTGTGTTGCCCAGAGATCACGCTGTTTAATAAATTACTGTTTAGTAAAGCCATTGAGAAGCTTTTTCTTCTGAATTAGACATCAGCAATTTGATGGTATTGTAGGCGCTTTCAAGGGTAAATCCAATTTTGTGGAGTAAACTACTCTTCGTTAAATGATCTTATCTGTAACAAGTTTGTGAGGTTTCTTAAGTTTGTTGTTAACGAGTCAGCGTAGTCTGCCATAGTCTAGTAGCTTTAATCAGATGTAATAAAAGAGTCCTTATTTTTGATGAAGAGACGAAATGGAAGTTTATGCCTTTTCTGTTTGCTTTTTGTCCTGTTTAGCATCCATATCCAACAGAGGATGAGAAAAAACAGATTGCAGCACAAACAAATTTGACACTACTCCAGGTTAACAACTGGTAAGACCAGAAACTCTTACCTAATGTCTGTTCCTGTCTCCATATGCTTGCAGCAGACAGGAATATTTAGGAGTATAACTTGGACATCTGGAGTCGAACTTATGTACATAGTACATGCATGTTATTTTTATAATACATAAGCTATATTAATATGTGTGACATTTAAGTTAAATAATGACTCTGTAAAACTTTGAAACATATTGTCTCTTGGATCAGGAAGGAGGCCTGGCAAAGCCAGGGAGCCTATAAGATAAATCATACAGGAGCTTACAGAAGTAAATTAAACCAGACCAAATGAGTAGTTAAGGTGGGGGCTAGATTTCAGGTGATCCCTAATGAGAGGAGTATCAGCTTTTTGAATTGTGCTGCCAGCGAGTTTTCTGGTGGTTAGCTTTTAATAAGGTCTTGAAATGTGCATCTGTCATGCTGTTTGAAGAATTTCTTCCTCTGGAGAGGGGGGAGAAAGGCTGCCAGCAGCAAAATAAGAGTCCTGTTTTCTTAGCTAGTTTGGCAATATCGAAGGATGCCAGTGTTTTTGGAGCAGTTTCTCATGTTAAAAAGAATGATGAGCCAAGCTGGTAGGGAGAAGAGACATTTTGCAATTTTAATATTTCTGATTTAACTTCTTTTTCATTGTATACTTGTGAAGCTGAGAGAGAGACTGTTTACAGCCTTCTGGTCATTAGTATTTCTTATCTTTGATTCTGTTTAGGTTTATCAATGCTAGAAGGCGAATCCTTCAGCCAATGCTGGATTCCAGTTGTTCTGAAACTCCAAAAACAAAGAAGAAAACAGCTCAGAACAGACCGGTTCAGAGGTTCTGGCCTGACTCCATTGCTTCAGGAGTTGCTCAGCAGCAATCTAACGAACTTACAATGTCAGATGGTAAGGAGAACTGGCTAGGAAACAGATCATAAAGTTAATTCCTCTGTAACATGGAATTTGAGTTTGATACATAGGGGACTCCTTGATATTTCTGCATGACTGTGCTTTTAATTTGGAAAAACAACAGAAATGTGTCTTTTTTTTAATCTTTAAAAAATGTTTCTGTGTTCGGGTGGGTGTTTTATTGGAAATTGTGTTGAGAAACTTTTGTTTTTCTTTCAAAAGTTATGAAATGATGTAACAAAGGTTAGATGTGCGACTACGTTCTCTCAGAATGTGTGTATGCATCAGAAATATTCTATTCTATTACCAATATTGGACTACACTTTCACCTTCGTGATTCCCCATCCTGTTCACATTCCTTTCAATATTGCTAGAGGGGCTGAGCATCTGCAATTCTGTATATGCCTCGTGTTTCAAATTGAGCACTGAGAAGCAGAGGAATACAATAGAGCTTCCAGAGATTTTGATTGAAGTAACTTTGTTAGCAACAAAGTTAGATCAAACTAAATATTTATCTTTCTTGAAATGAATCTAACTACTTTAATCTCGGGACCATCTTTTCTTTCCTTCAACCTGCTGCTTTGTTAATTACAAAGTTGTAGCAACTTTCCCTCAGCCTCTGCTTGTTCTGACAACAGCTTTATCCATTTAAGTCAACTTGAACATCTCTGAACACTCAATTTTTGCAGAGTGTTGCAGCCTAATTCATTGCAGAAAAATGGATCTTGCAATGACTTGAGTGGAGAATTGTTGTAATGAGTGTCCGTAACACAGCTAAGCTTAAGGTTCTGGGCCAACTTTTATTCTGGCACTTCCTAATATTTAAGTATTTGACAGCCTAAATAATACAGCTTTTATTTTAATGCAATTCCTTAGGCTTTCTTCCTACTGATTAGAACCACATTCTGTTTTATGTAACTCTATTACTTAAAAATAGTAAACCAATAAAGATGCTAAAGTGTTATGATTGTGCTTCTCCAGGTGCTGTTGTAACAATTACAGCTCCAGTCAACATGAATGTAGACAGTCTCCAGTCTCTGTCATCCGATGGTGCTACTTTGGCTGTTCCGCAGGTTATGCAAAGTGAGGACGAGTCTGTAGACAGCGGCGAAGATGATGGAGGCGATCTCTCAACGACAAATATCAGTGGGCTGGTTTTGGATAACAGCGATTCTCTGCAGTAGGAAGCAAGATGGAGTGACAGAACGTTTAGGAAAAAGAATGAACTGACTGACTGTTTTTATAGTTTGCACAGCAAACATTTTACACAAGTTTTATTTCTAATATGTTTTATATGTAGATATAGAAGGGTGCACTTTTTTGTATTTCATAGTAAGCTTAAAGAGTGTTTTTGCAGGTGCAGCAACTTCTTTCAAATGTGGTTTTTTTTCATTTCTTTTCATTTTCTTATTTCAGAAAATTATATCTAGTAATATAAAGAACCACGTAAGCACCCCTTTGTTCTCTAATGAATTGGAAGTGCTGCAGTTTCTAAAGAATTATGCAGTTTCAATTAATGCTGTTATTTAACACAGCTCTTGATGGGCAGGTAATGTAAATTTAAAGCATGTGACACTAGTGTGTGGAACTTGATCATTAAGTTAGATGCATATATTTGAAAGATGCTTCTGCACCTTAAAAACTGCTAGTCTGAGGTGGACAGCAACACACAAAAAGAAAATGGTGATGTGTGATTCAATAGCGAATGTATGGCAATTTAAATAAGTTTAGTTTCTCTCATAGTCAGTGAGCCTGTTTATCATTTGCTATAAAAACTCCTATTTTTACCTTGCCGGGATTATTGGATAAAAAATATTTTTATAAATTCATTAGGAATTGGGATGACGACTGTATTAAGCAGGAGAAAAACAAATTTCCAGAGGGGAAAAATAAATGTTTAGTATTCCTATTTGGAAGGTCTGAAAACTGACCAAATTTAATAAACAAGACTACACTAGTGTTCTATGATTCTCAGCTATCCCATAGTGGTATAGTATATTTGATAATAGCCTCAGAACAGCCCACTGTTTGATGGGATTTTGATATTGTCAAACTTTGATTTATATTATGTGTAAACTAATATTCAAATAACATTAACGCTGTATCTAAACTTGTATCTGAAGATGTTTGCTGAATGAGTATTCAGGTAAGTAAATTCAAATACCCAGAACACTTCCAGTTATTAGAGAAATTTAACAGTTTATAGTTTGTCTGTCTGATTCTAAAAAAATGAAAAGTTACCTATTATACAGTGTTGAATTTTGCTATCTTTTTGCTGTTTCATTGCATTTGAAATATTTTTTCCCCCAGCACAAAAAGAAATAATTTATGGATTTAGATGAAATTTCTTCAAAGCTGAAGGTCACTACCAGAGTATACAGCAGGCTTATTTTAGAGTAGGAGATCCTTGTGTGTCCTTTAAAAACTAAGAACTTGTGATGAAAGCACTTTTTTTTTGTGGTAATAGATCATTTCTTTTTTCCCAAAGTTTGGAGTCTGTGTCTCTCTAGCCATGAACACTTACTTTTGGAACTTGATATTTCCTGTTACGAAGTACAAGTAACAGACTCCAAGAGTCTCACGGTATGATCAAGATCCTCTTTTCCTCCCAGTCCAATTGTCCCTATTTAGGTTTAGATCAAAGCCAGAAATTCCTTCTGATTTAGACCAAATCTAGTTGCATTTCTAACATAATAGGGAAAAGGATGTTAGCTTTTAGAGTCTTAGGCACCGTGTTTGAGCAAAGTCCTTTAGCGAATGCAAAGATTGAATTAACTTAATTTTTGCTTCACAAAATGCTCAGGCATGTGCGTAGGTCCCATTGATTTCAATAGGATTAAAGCATATATTTTCTGACATGCTGAAATGCTTGGAAGCAGATCTTTAAAGACTGTCTCACAAGTCAATTTTAAGTCAGTATGAAGAAAGATTTTGGAAAGAAATGTCCTACTAGTGACTAGTAACTGTTTTGAAAAATTGATGTTGGGCTTTACTCAACACGAGTGATGTTTCTGCAATGGCTTTCATTTACTCCCAGCTGCGGGTTATGCTTCTCGGTTCAAATGCAGTGATTATATACTCCAGCTGGATTATAATTTCTAAAGAATGTGTTTTATTCTAACTTTTCCACTTTGCCACTGATGTGCCATGCTTATTAAAGAGCATAGTAAATGAATAATGAAAGATTTAATTAGGAAGACTTTGGCGTAGCATGACTAACTGAAAAGGCTACTGTCAACTCCAGTTTGACCCCAAAGTATTTAAAGAGACAATTATTGTTTGCAAATCATGCTCCTCTGGAAACATTCGACCTACTGTTCCTACAAATGATACCTGAGATGACTAGAACAGCAACAGATTCTGTATTTTTCTTTTAAGTTACTTTTGTTTTAACTCCTCGAGCACTTTGTCACCCTCACAGTTTCTATTATATAATTGATTTTGTTTGTTGGTTTGTGTAGGGGTTTTATTCAGGTACCCTTGTTCATGTTAAATAGTGTGTTAATCCTAACATTTCTAGTATGCAGACAGACGAATAATCTACTTCTCAGCGTGTACAGGGCTGTGAACAAACATGCTTTTCCAGATCAGCCTATGCTGGAGGAATAGGTAATTGCTCACTTCCTGCTTTCTCTCTGACTAGAGTTGTTGCTGCTTCAGATCTACCAGCAGAGCTTTCCCCAGCCTGCTCCGAGGGAGGCTGGAGAACAGCTCAGCCAGCTTATCTCTGAGGGTAGCAAGCAGTGCAGGGAAGGGCAAAATTGGGTAAAACTTCTGTGGTTTATAGATATGTAACAGGCATTTGCCTGTCCTTCGAGACTAGCAGAACTGAGATCATAAAAAAAAAGAGGACATCGATACCATTTGATATGTATATAACTGACTGGAAGAGGGTTCAGAAATATATGCAGTTTTTTCTGACATTTTGAACCCGGTTGGAAGCAACCGGGCTTCAGAGCTTACAAATTTCTGGAAGTTTAATTTTTGGAACAAATTATTATCTGATTAATTGTTTTCATTTTTTTTCCTCTGCTTGCACCAGAAGTTTTATTCTGCTGAAATGTTTGCGACCTTATCTTCAACTAGTGTATAAATACCTGGAAAGTGAAGCTAACTGGCGAGTTACTATGAAAGGGAGAAAATGGAGTAGTTATATTGGTAAATTAGGGAAAACAAAAAAAGCGAAGTGAATTATTAAAACTGAAAAAACTTTTCAGTTTAGTCAAAGGTATCACAACGCATGAAACTCAAACCTCTTAATTCAGTTAGAATGTTGCAGTTGATATGAACTGCATAGAAGTACTTGTTCTTTTCATGACTTTAAAAAGAAAAAAAAGTGCTATTCTTCCCTTTTTTTACTCTGTAAGAAAGATTACTGGTTTAAGGGAAGCATTGCTGTTCGGGAAAGGTAGATGTTTACATTAGACAGTTAGTTACAAAGTCTTCATAGAGGACCTAACTTTAAACCCATATATAATTCTCCCCTTCCCACCCAAAGCAATTAAAGTCACATTCATACATAATAGAAGAGCTAGTTTGTTTTAAAAATCAGTGTAACTCTTCTGCAATTGTGATTATTGAAACTCAATCTTTTTTCAATATAATCTAGATAATTAGCCCAAAATAGGGTTCTCAGTCCACTTTTTTCCAAGATTTCTGTCGAAAGCAAGCCAATTTCCTGTTATTCTTTAACCTTAGGAACATTGCATTTAGTAAATCAATTCCAAATTGATCAGTGTATATTTAAAAATGACTGCTCTAAATAAATAATCATGTTTAGAATTAAACATTTAGGGTTGGCAGGCATGGCTCTGGCTCTGCAGACAGTTTCCTAGATCTGGATCAAAGAGACATCAAAGAGACATCTAACTAAGCTCGGGGATGTGCCATAAGGATACATCTCAACTGCGAGAGAATTGCTCACTTGTTCTGGTCCCTGCTTATGATTAGGAAGCTTTTGGAGAGCCCTCCAACTTTCTCCTGCCTGCATGCCTCCCTTTGCTTCTGAAACTGTGGTAGGGGTGAGGGCATGAGAGGGGCAAGAGTGTTTGTGGAGCTGGTGTGCACCAGGTATTCTTAAGTCAGGCTACGGCCAGAAGATGCACCTAGACCGAGGAATTAGAGTTCCTAGTTCCTGTGATTTAAAAGTAACTTTGGGTTTATGGATCTTCTTACGGAGCAGGGTCACCGAGTAAATGCGTGAATAATATAATGTGTCTCTAATCACATG